AGAAAGTTATTTCCTCAACTTGAAATTATTGATCAAGTTTAGCTTAAGTACCTGCTGTAGAGTTTGCTTTGCTGGATTAGATGGATATATACACATGTGCCACTTCCTAGACTCTTTTATGTGCTTTTTCTTAAAGAACTTATTGCTGGACATGTTGGCAGCAGTTTATGCTTTTTTTTTTTCTATCAACTTTGCTGAATCTAGATATATATGATAGTTGCAATTTATGCTTTTATTTTTTATAAACCTTTTGTTGGATTTGCTAGATTTATATGGCAATTTATGCCTTTTTTTCTTTATGAAATATGAACTTGTTGCTGGCTTGCTTGCTGGACTTGCTTGACAATGACATGTATATATTGGCTGTGTTATTGTGTATATTTACTACTTGTTTATCTTGTTTTAAAAGAGTGATCTTGATCATCTCTGTTTGCTAACTAGGATTCTGTAAAATTGCTATTTTCTTTTGCAATTTTGATTAATAAGCAATGAAATAGGTGATAGTTTTACTTGGCGAGGACTCCGAATACTCGCGGGGACCTATTATTCCTTGCGGGGATGGGGACGGAGGTAATTTTAACCCTCCATCAAAAATCCTCACGGGAATCCCCGTACCCGCCATTGATAGAGATGGGGACGGGGAGGGAGTCTTTGCCCTTGTGAGGACCCGTTGCCATCCCTAATTAAGATTTATCTTGATTTTCAGATAAAAAAGATAATTATTTTTAAAAATAGAGATTTGTATACATACAAATTTTATATACTATATTTATACAAAATCTCAATCTTCTATTTTTTTTACTTTTAATGGTTGAAATTTGTTTATATTTATTAAAAAAATTAATTTTTTACCTAAAAAATTTGACAAATCTCTATCATTAAAATTTAAGAGATAAGTGATTGAAATTTTGTATAAGTGTGGTGTATAAGATTTGTATGTAAATAGATCATTTCTCTATCTTTAATAAATATGAATATATCTCAATTATTAAAAATAGAAATAAATTTGTTGAAATTTTATATAATAGCATATTTGAGTTGAGAAGAATGAAGGAGATAAGAGGAGAAGGAGAGATTTTTTTTTATCAATTATATTATAATATTTAAATACTTTTTACATAATTAAATTATAATATTTAAAAAACTTTATAATTTAATAATTCAAAATACTTTCCCCTCTTCTTGCTCTCTCAAACTTAAAAACATAAGAGTAAATATAATATATAAAATGTATATAAGTAGACGTCT